GGTTGAAAAATATTACAAAAGACATTCAAAAAGAGAAATATCAACTTCGAGAATCTAGACCCTTCCTGGAAAAAAGAATACCAAATTAAAAAATAGATTGACCCAACATAGTATTCACCTTTAATAGAAGAAATTAAAGTAGAAGAGCTCGAAGCTACTTTGCAATCTCTTCCAAACAATAAGGCTACTGGCTCCTTATATATCAGTTACGAAATGCTCATACATTTAGGGATCAAAGAAAAAGGAACTTTATGTCTTCTTTTTAACAAAGTTTTAAGTACAAGTCAAGTACCTAAGAAATGAAAAAGTGGTAACATCTATCTCATTTCCTAACCCAAGTCTTGGAAATATGATCTGAGCAATACAAGACCCATCATTTTCTTAAAAATAGCTCAAAAATGCTTTACCAAGATCCTTATCAATCAACTATCAACTATTTACAAGCAATATCAAATCTTAAAAGGATCAAACTTCACTAGGCTACAAGGAGAGAGTATGGCAGAACCTATTCACCTGCTAAACAACATTTGTGAAGAAGCTAGACAAAAAAAAAAAGAATTATGGATCCTATTTCAAGATACTGTAAAGGTATATGACACAATATTCCTATATATGCTTGAAAAAACTATAGATCAGATTCAAATTTCTACATCTATTAAAAAGCTCATAATAAACCTCTTCAAAGATAGAAGCTGTAGTATCATTCTTTTTAATGGACTATCTAATCCAATAGTGGTAGGGAATGGGATAGACCAAGGAGAAACAATCTCTCCATTATTATGAAGAATCTTCTATGATCCACTTTTGTGCAAGATCCAAAATAATAGCAATCTGGATTATTCCATGGAAGAAGAATGGTCTTCCAACTTTAGTAAACCTGAAGAGAATATGAAGCTCTTCTTAAGGCAGGCATTAATTGTCTATATAGATGATACGACCTGGATTGTCAAACTCAAGGAAGACCTGGAAAAGATTCTGGAAGAAGCAAAAAAGTTTTATATAGCAAATAACTTTCAGATTAATGCAGAAAAATTAATTCTCCTTACTATTAATAAAAGCCTACAAGTCTCCAGAACTGTTCAGGCTGAAACAGAAGATATTATAGTTCATGAAATCAATAAGGAGGATCAAGCTAGATTTCTTGATATCGGGCTAGGACCATGACAAAAAAATCAGGATGCTATCAGTTTTATAAAATCAGAAATCATAACAGTAGTTCAAACAATAATCAAGAAGAAGTTAACATAAAAACATGCCTGATACATTATCCATAGGGTCATAATTACAAGAATAGAATACAAAACACAACATATATACTTGAGTGAAAAAACATGCAATAATCTTACAGCCATGTTTAGAAAGTATTCAAGAATAAGGTCCTAGTCTGTAGAATAATCCCAAATAGTTGTATTTACAACAAAGGAATATACAGTCTCAAAAGTATATGGGAGATATAGCTAGAAAGTCACAAACCTGCACTTTTCTGTTAGCTTAACAACAACTAGGCCTCTGGTATTGCTATTATAATCAGACTGAAACAAAGTCAAATCAAATGTTGGGAGCCAGGTAATATCCTAAGCAATCCTATCAACTCTTACAAGCTGACGAAAGGAAATTTGGCAACTACGATACTAGCTCTGGCAATAGTATACAAGTCACTTATCAAAGTTGAAGATGGAAAAATATATTTGATTATCAAGAAGGTATCTTATCAATCAAATCCTTATTGCAAGAGAATAGAGAATATGGAAAAGTTATTCCATCACTTCAGAAATACAAGATTATGTTTTTAAACCAGCTCATCAACACTACCACAATAACACTTAAGGAATGGAGAGCAGTTCAAATCCTCTATAGCAGATGCAAGGAACTGGTTCTCTTCTGGTACAAAAAAGTGAAGGAAAAAACAACAGTAAATTAAAATCTTCTACAAAACTCTCTACATGGGCTTGAATAGACAGTTTACAATATGCAAACTGAGACATTTCCAAAAAACCCAGATAAAAGGATGATTTACTGGGTAGTCCAGGCTAATACTTCAACAGATACATAGGGAAAGATAACAACCATAAACAATAAGACTTATTTTACTCCATATCAGCTAGTATATGATTCTACTAGTAACAATACTCATCTTCAACCAGATAGCACAAAGTAGCTATTAGAAATAGTCCTGGCATAGATCCATTTTTTTCCACAGCTCAATCGACATAATAATCTAAGAAAAAAGAAGTAGATCCTTTTGTCAAGAAACCCTACAGACTGGCAGACAAATACATTTCAGCAAACAGTGGCTCTACCAACTTCCAGACCAGTCGAAGTAAAGATTTAAGTGGAAGACTGGGATATCACACTAATAGAAAAGGCCATACAAATAGAAGAATACAGAGATGAACTTAAGAGCATCTTGAGATATAACAAAAGGAATATAGCTGATCAGCTTACGTTCTATACAGATGGTTCTTATAAAAAACGAATGACAGATTATGAATTAGAAATGATTTTAGCTTGAATCATGATAGAGGAGAACAAAATAGTTAAACAATTCTCAGCAGGAGCATCCATATGGCCATCAGCAACCAGGGCTGAAATACTGGCTATTCTCACTGCACTGTATACAGTTCCTTGAAATATAACAGTTACAATTTACACTGATTACAATACTGTAGTCAAGATATAAAAATCTATCTGCTCACAAATAGGGATATCTATAAGAAGATAGACAAAGATTACTAACTGGTTACTTTGGAATAAGATCAAGGACTTAGTAAAGAAGAAAAACCTGAATCTGGAAATTCTAAAGATTAAAGTCTATAGAATCAACAGACTTAACAATTAAGTAGACTTACTTGCCAAACAGGCTAGGCAGGAGAACCCAATAACTTGAAATCAGCTACCAGAGCTAGAAAAAAGAGTTCTCATGATAGCAGCATAGGGAGAATACACAATAAAAATTGATATTAGAAATTTTGCTAAAATGTTCAATAAAAAAAAGATTAGACTAGACTGAATAACACAAAAATGAATCCAAGATCTTTGAATCCAAAATGATAAAATTATAGACTGGCCAACCTTTTGGAATTAGTTCAATTTGACCAATATCTTTGATATCTCTTTCAAAACCAATAAAGACAAAAGCTTCTTAACTAACTTAATTCACAATAAACTTTCAATTCTTCTTCTAGTAAGATATCACATGGGTCACATGAAAGACTGAGACAAATGGATTTATTGTAATAGCTAGTCACTATATAGGAAAAGGTAAGGTCGAGTTATAGCATCTACAGTAATATAGCCTTTACTATAGCCTGTAATTCAATTGTACTTCATTAACTCGCTATTACAACTTCAATAAACTGGACCTCTGTAATTCCTGTTAAAAAAAAAAAATTACAATAACCTATACAATCAAGAAAAACAAAAATATAATCATTAACAAATGAAGTATTCTATTTAAAGCTGATTTAGTCAAGGTCTTTGATGCTCAATAGTATATAGAATAAATAAAAGAAAAATAAGCTATAGTATCTAAACTCATCAATTTTTCTCCAAATATAATAGCCTTTGATTTAAGTCATATATACAAATAGATCAAGATCAAATTATACTATATTTCAAGATATCTCTCATGCAAAAGAAAAAGATTTGCAGTAAGCAGTTTCAAGAACAAAGAAATTAGAAAAGCTACTACAAGAAAAACTTTAATCTAGGTAAAACAATAGTTAAATGGAAATTCATCAAAACCAAGCTATATAGCTTTTGCAATAGTGCAAAACATCTGGTAGTAAACTGCTTATCAAAGGAATGCCATGTACAATAGAAGCAATATAGGTTACAACAAGCCAAATGCTTTAGCAAACTATATATTAAATATAAATCAATAAGAACAGGAGCAATCAAAACCCAACTAAACAAAAACATAATATCATCAAACCAGGATTTTATATAGCAGCAATCAAGTAAGATCAGTTATTCAGATATAAGCAGCCTTCAAAACCAAAATCAATAAACATAATGGATGAAATTCTGGAAATCTTAAAAGAAATCAAATGTGAAATTAAGAAAATTAAAGAGGATATAGCAGATTTGAATGAATATGTTATCAATTTGGAGAGCTACAATGAAGAATACATACAACAAGTGGAGGAACTTCAAAACACTGAAGAGAATCTAAATCTTTTAACAGGAAATACAGAAGAGACACCAGACAATTTATAAGACATTTAAGCTTAACAACAATATATCCACTTCACTAAGAATAGGTTGGATAAAAACATGGATAAAATGTTCAATGTCTTGGCAAATACTCTGAACTCGAATACATCCAAACTCAAAGCAGATGAAATCAATAATGGACAGAATGTAGATAGGGTACTTGGGATTGTTACCGATGCATCCAAATGGTATTTTATGGAATGTTCGCTAGATAACGAGGGGAAGCCATCGTTTAAGCTATCGGAACCAGTGACCGTTGTGTACAAAGATGAGAATTTGCAAGCTAAGGTAGAAAAGGTCTTCGGGCAAATTGTATGGATATTGGAGGAAGCACAGAAGCCGGTGAAAGTTTTGAGTGAAATCAAAAGGGTAAGGTCAACGGGCGATCTTACCGGGAAGTCAGATAAATAGGTCTTAGTATAGAAACTTAATGTATCCCGGGAAAGTCCCGATCTTTACATTTATTTTTATACATTAATAAATTTTTTGTCAATATTTTGATCATGAAATTTCTTGCCAAGAAGTGATCAGCGAGTTCTTTATTAATGATAAAGATGTTACGTTTGAAATTAAAGGCATAGATTAATAAAAAATATTTTCAAGACATATACAGTATTCTTCCGAACATTTTTAATAAAATTATATAAACTGACATTAAACATGCAATCTAAAGATGATAAGTTGAAAATTCGAGACTCTGTCTCCTCGTTGAGAGAATTGAATTCCAAGCTTGTAGCCAAGCTTGCCGAGCTTAGAAAGGAGAATGCCAAGATTCCCGAACTTAGAAGAGAGAAAGATTTGCTTTTGGCTAGAATCGTAGAATTAGAACAATTCGCAAAAGAAAATGCAGAGAATATAAAGTTAAGAGATGCTAATCTCGATGATGGGAATGCTAAACGAGATGCTGAAATTATAGAGCTTAGAATACATTATTGAGGAAAACAGACTTAAAATACCTTGTTCCGAAGAAAAATATAACAAAACTATTACTAATTAACAGGATATATACCTCCTACATAAGAAATTCAGTTCATATCATCTAAGAGAACCAAAACTGTTACTGATGTGAGAAAAGTTTCAAATGAGAACAGCTTTGAAGATTCGGAACAGATTCCTAATGTTAATAGTCCCGGTAAGATAAACTTGCAGACTGATGATACCCCCGAATTTAACATAACTGATGAAGCTTCAAATTCTGATGAACCCAATAATGCTTCAGCATCCGATATATCTGACAATACTTCAAAATCTGATGTAAATTTGGGGGTCTTCATCCCAATATCCCACATCACCTATTCCCACAGGGGGTAAATCATTGGAAGACAAGGAGGTCAATGCATTCCTGGATTCGAAGTATAAGAAAAAGGCTAGTAAGGATATAATTCAAAATATCAAGAGAAGCTTCGGGATCAAGAGGCCTCTTTGGAAAAACTAGACTCTTTAAGAGAATTAGAGGAGTTGATGTCACCTCCATTATCATGTGACATGAAAACTGTAACATTGTTCACGATCAAGAAAAAACTTCACCAAAAGAATCCTTACAAAAATATATCTCAAAAATCTATCGGGAATTCAGCTGAAGCTAGTACATATGTGTCAAGTGAAGTTGTACAAGGTTTGTTACAAAGAATTTCGATAAACTCTATAGAAGGAGAAAATAATACCTGATTACGTTTACTGTCAAGTTTAAAAATCGTTCTCGCATATTCTCCACTTTACATGAAATAAATGATGATCGAAACATACACTGACTCAAAAAATTGTCCCAATAATTAAAACTTTTTTGTTTATAGCGTATATCTTTTGAGCGACTGATTTA